TGTGACGTTTCACTCCGTCTATGGCATCATCTATCAATGAATGACATCAACTCGGGTAGAGGCAGCTACTGAGTGAATGATTGCATCGTAGGATAGTGAGAGGTGACGGTGGCTTTTGGGAGAGGCCATCATCCAGCAGTGGAATGACCATGGCTGATGATGAATGGCACAATAGTAAATCAGTTGATGGAGATTCAAACGAAATACTCCAACGTAAAAATCTAGAAACGTATTTACTTTTCAAATTGTGGGAAAATCCACAATCATGTCTAGCTCCGCCCACTTACCCCTGAGGTTGAGCCCACCAAAACCCTTTATAAGCTCTTGTTAGCAGATATTTCTCCTAAATCACCAGTTGTCCTGCTGTATCGGTTCCGCCTGATGACGGTCGCTTGTGTTGCGATCAGAACGTCGTGATTTATTTTATTTTATTTCTACCTACGTGACTTCACCGAAAGAACCAAAGAGTATGGATTGCTGCAGTCACGAAAGCTTCAAATCTAGAAGATTAATCACGTCTTTCATTTGCAGTCAATAGTCAACCGTTAATTTGGGCAAAGGCCCGGTGGTTTTGAAGTGCGGTTGGATCTCAGCCCCCTCACGATTCCACTCCCACCCACCTCTAGTCCGAGGTGCTTCACCTCCTCCTGCCCCCAGCCACGTGACGAGCTGTGTGCGTGCCGCGGCGATCACGGAGGGGCAATAGACTGCTGCGCTTCTCTCCACGCGTGTGGACCCTCACGTGCCGCCTCCTCCGACGTGCACGAGGGCGCTGCTGCTGCTGCGTGCAGCAGTGTCGCTGATCATCTGATGATGATGATGATAAGCGTGTCTCACAGAGCGAGACACGCGATTCGTGCAGGGTCCAGTGTCTGCGTGTGTGTCTGTAGATGACACAACCCTCTGTGCTTAATGTTGTACAGCAGCCCGTGGCTTTGTTGTTGTTGTTGTTTACAACCACAGCGGTCCATGTCTTGGGCTGCGGGGCCGTTGCGGCCCATGGGTCGAAGGTTCCACACCGCCGACTCATACCAACATTGCCCATGGCCCATAGGAGAGAATGTGGCGGTGACTGCTATCATCCACAGTGCAGACTTTTACTGGTAGGAACCTCCTGGTTACACCAGCCCACAGGGGATTATTGTGTCCGTCTGTCCGTCGTGCATCCAAAAATGGGAGGGGTGGGGCTGGGTTGGGAGGGGAGGGCGGGGAGGGGCTGGGTTTGGAGGGTGGGGAGGGGCTGGGTGGGGAGGGTGGGGAGGGTGGTGCTGGGTGGGAGGGGTGGGGCTGGGTGGGGAGGGGCTGGTCACCCCGTGGTGCCCTTATAAAACTCAACGTTTAACCTACTCACGCCGGCTTGTGCCCGCCCTCACAGTCGGGCATATTTGCGGAATACACCACGTGGTGCCCCCGTTGACCCTGGCCATTGACCGAGCAACCCAACGTTCCTATCAGCTCCCTCCGCAGGAATGTGTTACCATTCAACGCGGACAAATGCAGGGTTGATTCATTGGGCGTTGTGGTTCTTATTGCAATTGACTCTGCACAGCTGCTGCTGCACTCGTTACAGGAAACCCCCTCTTGTCCGCGACGCTATTATCAGAGACTCAATATCCACGACAGCTGTAGGATCCGAGAAAAAAAATCATATTATCCGCGGGTCATATTCTTTCTATTATCCGCGATTTTCCGCGGGGAAAGGGGAGTTGCTCGTAAAATACATCCGATTCGCGATTTATTTTTGACTTCCATATTGCGGATAGTGGGATCTGCCATATTGGTCCCCCATATTACGGCGGCTAATAGGAGGTATGCTGCTTAGTATTATTGTCGTGTGTTAAAGTTCAGGCGTTTGGAAAAAAAACACCCCCCCCATAGAATCCTGTGCATGTACGATTGATGAGACCCCCCCCCCCCCTCAAGGCGCGTGGTGTGGACCTCCGTGTTTGTTTAGACAAATACCGCATAACCAGGGGGTGATGCGTGCTGGGTCCGAGCCTCTTTGCACGCGAGTCGCTCCGCACGCAGCTCGTGATAGCGTGAGCCTCACTCGGCCCGCAGCCCCAGCCACCAGCACCCAGCCTCTCGCATTGACAACCACCAACACCCAGCCAGCTGCACACAGCCACCAACACCCAGCCAGCCGCACAACCAGCCACGAACACCCAGCCTGCCGCACTTCCAGTCACACACCCAGCCTGCTGTACACACAGTCACCAACACCCAGCCTGCTGTACACACAGTCACCAACACCCTGCCTGCTGCACGCCCAGTCACCAACACCCAGCCTGATGCACATCCAGCCACACATCACTCACCCATACAGCCAAACGCCGAACTACACACCCAGCCGGGTGCACGCCCAGCCACCAATACCCAGCCGACCGCACACCCAATCACACGCACATCGCTCGCTCACCCACACACCCAGCCTGCTGCACACCCAGCCACACACCCAGCCGGCTGCACACCCACCCACACACCCACCCACACACCCAGC